ATACGACCTACTGGACCTGATCAGCAAAACAAAAAGTATTTACCTAAAAACAATTGAATGCTGAATTGAAGAAACTTACACTCTGATCTCGTTGGAATATCACTACACGGCCACCTTTGTCACCGGTAGCCAAGAATTCGCCATCGTGAGAAAATTCAACACAAGAAATAATATCAGCTGGAAAAAAAAAGATAAAAGACCCAAATAAATATTGGATAGACCAAATAAAACCATATAACAACAAATTCTGAACAAATAAAACATAAAAAGAATAAAGTTAGGTGAGCAAAAAAACCAGAAGAAAAAAATGCTCTCTAGCCCTTGAAACAAAACCCCCTACTTTTGTCTCTTGATAAAAAACAAGTTTATAAAGAATTGAAATTTTTAAGGATAGTGGTTTCTAAAACCTGATTCAAAAAACGCTTAACTTCCTCCTTTTGAGTGCTAACCAAATCTCAATCATCTTAAGCTCGGCATTTAAAAGAAATTCCTGTAAGAAAGGGATGAAAAAATGAAAATAACAACAAGAAGCAAATGAGGATAAGTTGAATTGAACGAAGAAAAGGAAAAACAAACCATCACTAGTAATACTTTCTTCAGAATCAATGTTTCCTTTAACTTGGGAAAAACGCCACTCGATGTCTCCATCGTCATCGCTATTCCGTAATTCCATTGAAGTAGAAGCTTGATCGCCATCTACTTCCATTGCTTCAATATTCATTTTCCTGTAATATCCATATAGCTAGACAGTTCACAGCAATAAACCGAATGCAAAACCCAAATAACTTCAACAAAATAAAGAGTGAAAAACTGGATAAAGCCTCGACGATCTATGTAAGAAAATATCGCTTAAAGGCGGCTTCTTATTAAACGTCAATAAAAGAAATGCACAATCGTGAAAACGGACTGCAAAAGCATAATTCTGCCTTGATAAAATATGGATAAAAATCAAATTGTTAAACTTCAAAATAATGAAAATTATTTGTGCATATACGGCAGAAAAAGAAAAAAATATAACAATATTACAAAGATCATTATCGGTAAATTTCACTTATATGGAAGCGTTCTATCACCGCTGTCCTATTTCAATTCAAAGAAAAATAAACAGAAGTATCAAAAAAAAAAAAAAAAAAAAAA